GCTTAAATTTGAAATTTTAGCTGTGAATGCAGTTTTGTTGGAAATTTAGTTACGAGTTCAGGGATATATCACACTTTATAATCGGACCATTATTAGCTTAGTTATAAACAAAATACGGACATCTTGAGGGAATAATCGGGACTAATCAAATTTTGCATTTTTCGACATTTCAAACAGTGAATGCAGCTTTGATAAGAATAAGAAAACAAGCTCAACGAGGTATTACATTCCTTATTTGAACTAGTATTAGCTTAATTACAACCACAATACCGTAAGCTTGTGGGTAAAATCAGCCTTTAGCATTTATGAAAGGGTTTCAACCATTTTCTTGGGACATAGGAAAGTAAGACCTCAATAAACCTACCAATAATAACAATTAGATAGCACATAATTTGTAAAAACAAATAAAGCAATAAAGGAATTGTAGTTGCAACTAAGCCTATGCTTTAAATACTTATAGTTCCCTTTAGAGCTGGCTAATTTGAGTTCTGCAACTCTATGATTATACGATCTAATTCCGACCCTTTGTCGGCCTTCGAGTTGCCCTTTTGCGGTTGAATGTGCATTTTGCTGCATGCAAGCAAAAGTTTTTAATTAAATCATGAACACAGCCAGCCACACGTTATAAATATTTCCAGCGAGGGTAGACCTACAGCTTTATAGAGTCACTATATATATGTATATATATAAATATATAGACTTCGAGGGGTGACAGTGAGCAAGACGAATAGCTACAGCAAGGGGTAGCTGTGAGGAATTGGAATGGCAATCCACCCCATCCATCCTGGCAAGTGCAGCGCAGTAGTTTTTGTCTGCATCAGATAGCAAACTCAAACTATGCTAAAAACGAGGAAAAAGAAGTAGAAAGTAGCAAAGGAAAAGGTTATGCTGAGAGTCCCTGTAAATCAGGCGACGCCTCCTGCTGCTTTACAGAGCTCTGTTAGCGCTTAACAGTGGCTTTTTTTTCTTGGCGCCCTCGCTTCGGGTGGTGGTTGGGGTGGATTTTTGGTTGGCTTTGGGATGGTGGGTCCTCAGAAAGTGGGCGTTGCCTTTTCGCACGCATCTCTCTCGCTTGCTTCGCACTGTCTCCTTCGGCGCCAGCTGCCCCACTCTCTCTCTTACTCTTTCCCTCTCTTTCTAACTGCTCAACTCAAGACGAAGGGCAAAACGACGACGACGCTGATTTGGCATTTGGCCACTCCTACGCTCATTTTACCCATTCCCTTTGCCACAGTGGCAGTGGGGGCAACCCCCACTTGACATTTGGGTCAGGATATCTTATTACAGAGATAGCTTGGGGATGGTGGCCACTGGTCTGCCTCCTGCCGTCTCTTGATTGGCCCCGGGCAGCATTCTAGAAGAGGGAGGAGGGGGGAACACAAAGCATATTTATGGCGTGCCCCAAGTGCATTGTCAACTAAGGAGTGGAATGCGAAAACTATCCCATCAGCCATTCCAATCTCAGTTTGTGTCATTTCTCAAGTGCACTTGGGAGACCTGCAAACTCTATTAACTGAAGCTTAATAATGTCTAAGGGAAGTATTATCTTTTATATAAGGATTTTATAAGGAATAGTCTTAGGATTGCTTAGATATTTGGTTATTACTTAAAGATTTCAGGAAAATAAAACTGTTAAATGTATGTTTATAAAGCAAAAAATGGACTTACCAAAGAATATACACTAACACTACTCTTCTAAAGGCAAGCACAGATCTAATATTGATATTAAATGCTTAGCATTCGTAATATCAAAATCACTTAAAAAAAAAACAATCGATCACCTAAAAAAAACACTCTTTAGCTTTCATAAACCGCACGCACTCGCTGACAATCGCGGAGAGACTGAAAATTAAAGCAACTTCTAGCGTGTGCGAAAAAGAAAGAATGCAGGTCCAAAAGGGAAACCCAAGAAGATCCCGTTGCTTTTCGCGAACTTTACCGCTTCAATATTCACACATGCAAATATTAGGATTGATGTATGTGTGTCAATGTTACTGCTGCATTTGAATGTATGCACATACATACGAATTTTTTCAGCAATGTGTTAAAGAAGCATTTCAAATTTTGTTTATGTATTGGTTATGCTTTGAAAATTACTGTAAATTGGTCAGCTTAATCCTTTTACAGATTCCCAAACTGATTCAAGAGTACATACAGCTAAAACCTGATCCACCAACTCAACCCAATTACGTTGTTAACCCTTAAGTAATATTCCTTTCACTGGATTCCAGCGTGAAACTGAACTAATTTACACAAAGCAATCCGAGCACCTGAGGAAATGCGTTGGAGGAAGGAGTTAGAGTTGGATAACAGAAAACATAATCAGAAACTGGATCAGGAGAGGAATATGCAAACAAGATGAATTCTGGAATTTCCACTTTGAAGTTGACACAAGGTTTTTGCCGAGTTTCAGAGTTGTCGCATTACAATGGGCAGGTGCAGGGGAATGGAGAAAGGGGCACCGCAGCTTAGACAAATTGTTTCTTATGCATATTTTTCGCTCTTCACTTGATGTTGTCATAGCATCTGGTAAATTATGCCGAGTATTTGCGTAATTAAAACATGAAAAGAGTTTTGGCACAAACTCGTTTAATTAATCACCCCAAAAAGAGGGAGAAAGGGATAGAGGAGTCTTTGTCAAGCAAATTCCATTCCGCAATGCCAGCGATTTCTCTTGGCTTATCATAATATTTTGGACAGCTTCCTTTTACCCTTACCCTTGGCTCTTGGCCAGGATTGATTGACAAGGGAAAAGAAAACCCAACAACCATGCCAAATTGAAACATTATTTTTATAGATTTTTATGGCGACGACAAGGCATGCTGATAAGCATTATTTTTTTGTTGTATTTTTTCTAGGACAAAAGACATTTTCATAAGCACTGATACTGATTATGACACCAGTCCAAGGTCCATGGGTAAAGACAAAAGAATAGGAAACCACCCTTATATGTCTTGACAACAATGGAAAACTGCTGATAAGCTAGCCTGAAACTATATGTAGTTGTGCCCCCAAGGAGGAGTCAGAGTTGGTGGGTATCCCCAACCCTAATCAAAGCAGCTCTCTCACATGTGACCAAAAATCGAAATCTATAAATGACTTTTATTGTTATGGCCTGTGGCGGCGGCGGTGGCTTCATTGTCGTCGTCCTGGCTCCTTCGATCCCAATCCGCATCCAATAAGACGGCAAACTTTTGCATCGTATATTGAAAAGATGCGCTATCTCCATGGCAAAAGTTTTTGCGGTTGTTGCAGACAAAAGACGCGTGTTCCCTTTTAAAGTTTCATTAATCAATGGTTTAGGTAGGGGTTGGGGTATTAGGGGGTTGGGGGTTGGTCTGGGGTTTTCCAGTTTCGGTTTTATTATTTCAATTGAACGGGAGTGGTTGTTGGGTGGGTGCTCAAAAATATGAGGCATCATTTATCAGCCTTTCACGTTCGTTCTGGTGCGGATTGGCTGTCTGGGCGGCTGTGGATTTGAAATTGGCAACAACAATGCCGTGATTAATGGCCGTCAAAGCGAAAGAGTCAACAAATGTCAAGCGACAAAACTGCAATTGAACGGAGGAGTAGGAAACCCCGAGTAAACCATGTCCTACTCCTCCTACTTCTCCTCCTCCTCCTCCTCCTCCATCGATGAAATGAATGGCAAACTGCGGGTTAATTTTTTCAAATGTTTGTTAATTACATTTATTGTTTCCTTTTGTTTTATATATTTTTTTAAAATGTTTTTTACTCTCTTTTTTTATTTAGTTTTTGTTTTTTTTTTTTTTTTTTTGATTTCTTTCATTTGCTTTTTGTTCTGGCTGTTTAATATTATTATTATTTATTTATTTTTTTTTTTTTGCTGTCCAAAACACAAAGTTTATGTATATGCACGTATATATAAGTCTAAGCGGGTTTATCTTACATTTTAGATATTTTTTTTGATTTAAACTTTATGCGCCTCTGCTCTATCTCTTTCTTTTTCACTCTAACAATATGATAAAAAAAAAATATATATATATGTATTGGGTAATCGGTCTTACTTATTATCTGATTATTCGATATACGATATATATATATATATATATTTAACATAGTTTCGGTAATTCGATAGAATATAGGTAGTATTGTTTATCGCTCGTAGATAGACGACCACGACGACGACGACGACTGTTGCTTATACACACACTTTGGTTTTCTCCTTTCGTACTTAATATATTATTCGCTAGCTCCGATCGAACACGTTAATTACGCATATTGATTAGTTTTACATTAGATTTGCAAAAAAAAAAAAAATTAATAAGTATATTGATTAATAAATACACCCATATTGTAACTAGCTTGTGGTTATACATAGATACATTACACTCAGACACACACACACACACACACACACACATACGCACACTCAAAAGTTCTTAACTTAGGCTCTTTACATGCTAACCCCCCGCTGCTGCTTGGGATGAGGGTTTGGATCATCATCCCTCTTTCTAGCCCTCCTCTCTCTATACAAACTGCTGTTCGCCGTGGAAAGAACATTCTTTTTTTTTAGCCTCGCACTAAACTAAACTTAAATAATAATCAACAACGTTGCTCCAACACAGACTTAAAATGGAATCAGAACAAAAATCATGTGTGTGCTTTAAGAGTCGTGTGTGCAGAATGTTTTTTTTTTTTTTTTTAATATTTACACATTAAAATTCACTTTTTTTTTTTTTTGCCAATTGCCCTTCGCTTCTAATCGCTCTCCAACTGCGGCTGCTCCTTTGGATTACGAATCCTTGTCTCGAACTTTGATCGGTGGGTGTTTCTCTTTTTTTTTTCGATTTTCCAAAGTCCTTGAAAAGTAATCCGAATCTCCGCCAGCTCTTCAACTTTCTCCCATCCTCCTCTCCTCTCCACTCCTTTTCTTTTATTTATTTTTCTTTTTCATTTCCTTCGTTTATTTTTTAACTTTTTGGCACTGCTTTGAATTTGTTTTGGCACCGCACGCTTCGAGCGTGAAAAATAAAATTATTTATGCATATTACATAGATAAATACAAATATATCTATTATGGTGGAGTATATATATATAGGTATATATATATATATATCAAAAAAAAAAAGGATCTCTCTATAAAGTCAACAGTTTACAAGGAAAATATGTACAGGTCTTAAGTGGGAAACACAAAAAAAAAAAAAAAAAAGAGTATATATATCTTAGTTAATAAAAAAAACAAAGTTGGTTTAACTTCGAGAATAGAACTAAGTAAACATATTGTCTCTTAAATGTTAGGATGCAAAAATGTCTGCGAATTCAGCAAGTACTCTTGTTTAGTCTAACTAGTAACTAAACTAGGCCTTTAAAACTATAAAACTTGAACTCAGTCAAAGCGAACGAAGATTTGAATATCGATTTCTGTATCCTTTCCCCCCTAGCACACCCCCCAAAACCCCCCCCTCCCTACTTTCTCTCAGTTGCGATTGTAGAACTTTCTTTGGTAGCGCTTGCAGCCGCTGCTAATGCTGCCAACGCCTCCGCCTCCTGCTCCTCCTCCTGCTGCTCCACCGCCGGATCCTGCTCCTCCTCCTCCTCCTCCGCTGCCACCCATTCCCAGGCCCAAACCCATGAGCTGCTGCTGCTGCTGTTGTTGCTGATGCTGCTGCTGTTGCTGATGCTGCTGCTGCTGCTGCTGATGCTGCAGTCCAAATCCTGAGTAGAACTGAGCACTTGTCGCTCCAACTCCAACACCAGCTCCCGTCACAACAGCTCCTCCAGCGGCGCCCATGCCCAGGGCTTTATTTTAGCTGGACGCTCCCAGCTGATTCTTCATATGAGCAGCGGCGGCGGCAGCAGCAGCGGCTGCTGCAAACGGTGAACCACCGCCACTCGGTGTCTGTGGTCCATTATTATTGTTATTATGATCGCCTGGTGTCCTCGGTCCATTGACCATGCCCACACCATTCACATTTCCACCGCCAGGTCCACCGCCTAGCAATCCTCCAGCCGTATTCTGTGCCCCAGCCGCTCCAGTCGGTGATCCTTGGCCCAAAGAGGAGACATGACGCTTCAACATCGGATGATTGGCCATCGAGGCGAAGACCAGACGCTCCTCATAGTCGTACTCGCAGAGTATCTTATTCTCGCACAGGTAAAATCGGTCGCCCACGCAGAATCTAAGGGAAGGAGAGAGAAAAACCGGAAAATGACAGTGGTTAGTATGGAATGACAAGTCGGAGAGGAAGTGGAAACGATTTTTCCACACGCTTAGGCAGCCAAGGAAGTCAGTTAGCGAGGAAGGGATGGGAGGTGAAATGCACAAAGACAACGACAAGGACGAGGATGATGATGATGATGAGCGATGACAATTGACAGCGGTTATGGCGACTGTAACTGCCAGGAACCCACAGGAAGCGGCAGGAACTGTTGTCTAAAAACAAAAGACCAAACCAAAGACGAAGGACGACGAGCTACTCAGAGTGGCAGCAGACACAGGATAGGACGAAACGAAAACCAGGACAAGGAAGTCAGATAAGCGTTTGGCAATGTCGCTTCGCTGTCAGCAACAGTTGGAGTGTGGCAAGAGGCAAATATGGCTGGGGCTGGGGCTGGGGCAAGGTAGCTGGCTCACTGCAGGAGCGCCAGAGTCAGGAGTGCATTCAGCCAACTGCAAATAAAGTTGGCTCTCCCTCCTCCCGGCAGCAGCATCCATGGAGCATCCAACAGCCCTTTGTCAAAATATTTATGTTAGCACCTGTACGGATGGCAGAGTGCCGGCTGCCACGCCCACTATGGCAAACAGCAAACAGAGTCACTCGTACTCGAACCGTAAGGGAGAAGCAGTTCACATTACAAACGGTAAAAAAAAGTTGGGGGAAAAAAAAGGAGAGGATAGGACTCACTGGGGTAGAGATAGAGAGAGCCAGTCACGTCAAGCAGGCGAGTGGATGTCCTTTGAAAAGGAGGAATCTGATATGGAAATGAGTGGGAGCAAAGGTGTTGCTCTAAGGAAGCCAATGATCCTGGCTATGCCCTGTACTTCTCCAGCACTTAAAGATGTCAGGAATCAGCAATGCTTCTGGTTATAAAGTTTTTGGCCAAATCCTTGATCAATCCCACAGAATACTTTATCCCAAGTACACCCTGCAACATACACCTCCTCCTTCTCCACCTCCTTTCAATGCAAAAAAAAGAAACGTTTAAAGTTTGATTCCCCAAAAGGGCGGACGGGTACACTGCATCCATTTCGAGCCGGAGTCTGGGGTAAATCAGCTTACAGCAGACTTACAGCGGATATGAAATTTGGCTTTTGATTTACGTCAACATTTTGTTGGCCCGCTGGTTTCAGTAGCGTTGGCCAAATCGATTGACGTCGACTGTCGGCCGTTGGGGTAGGGGGCGTGGTTGGGGTAAAAAAAAATCGCTTTGTTTATCAACCAAAACAAGGCAACAGCCAAATAAAAGCCATGGAAAAAACGAGTCAACACACAAAGTTGAAACTTTTCTTCTTTTTGCAACTTCTGGCCTGGCATTGAGCGCACCTGTGACATGGCACGATGGAAATGGACACGGACATGTTGATAAGTGAGTGCCTCTGTGCGGGATTCGCACATCCGGGCATATGCTCCTCCCTACCCATCTTCCTGATCTCGACCAGAAGAAACCAACAGCAAATTGTCAACAGGAAGTACATACAAAAAAAAAGTCAGAAAAAGTACAAATAAAAAATTGGTAAAAATTGTAAAAAATTGCGCTTGGACGAAAGATTTGACTTGGGATTGGTGAGTCCAAACGGAGAGCAAGGATGTCGTCGTTCCATGTTGACGACAGGAAATTATGCAAACCTCACAGTTGCCAGCAATGGCAATGCATTTTGCAACAGCAACAGGAGCAGCAGGACTCAACAGGAGCAACAGGACTTCAGGACTCAACAGGAAAACTCTTTTTGTTTGCCAAATGAAAGCCCGCATTTTAAATGTGGCCATCCGCGTGGCCATCCATCCAACAAAAAAAAAAAAAAAAACGCTGGAAAGGATTGGACCTGCCGCTGGCCATGCGGCCACGCCTCAATGGATTTTTTCGGCAATTGAATTAATTTACGTGAAAAATTGATTAGCAAAAGGGAGCGCGGTAACAAAAGAGTCGCTATTGGTATTCAGATATGAATTTCTGGGTATAAAATAAGAGATCTTTACTAGTTCTAACATTTAGTATAGGTATTAAATGAACCTAAACTAAAGTTTAGGATTCTTTATAGAAGTAAAAGTGGCAGAAAACCTTTCACAGCAATCCCTATAAACATAACTCGATGCTGTAGCCACTTCTCAATCAGCAAGTCAAAAGTGGTTAAGTAACCATAATGTTAACTCCTCTAAAGGTACTCCTCGAGTGGCTCCTATATAGTAGCCGCCTCCAAGTTCATCGCTCCTGTTACATTTTTAAAAGGCAATGGGAGAAGAACAAAAGAGTCCAGGAAAAGCTGGGATAAGGAGCAGTGGAGACGATTCTCACAATATGCCAATATGTTTTAACATTTATTTCAATATTTTTTTACCAGCCCATGCCGTGTGGCGGCATTTTTAATATTTAATGCCTTGCTCCCTCTTGTGTTGCACAATCGAACGACTATATATATATATATATATATATGCCGGGGGTTTTATTATTTGTTATGGTGGAATGAGGCAACACGGTGGCATATGTGCGCCCTCATTATTAATGCAGAAACCCGAAACGAAAACGAAACCAAACCAAACGAAACGATTCCGAATTGCTGACCAAAAAATGAAAAAGAATGAGAAGGGGGAAAACCCCCATTCCCAAGTCAAGGCTGCAGTTTAAAGCTCTCCAGAGTGACATTTCACGAATTGGCCAAGTCCAATAAAATATTTGAGGAGAGCCAAGGCTTCGGACTTGGATGGGCCCAACACACCCAAAAAGGGTTCAATGCGAAATTTATGCGGTTTTCATAGAAAACGTATGACACTAAAGGGGTTTCCCTTTCCTTTCCCCTTCTGTTCGGGTGTTAGCTTGTAAACGATGGAAATTTGCTGGCTGACGGCACGTTAATAAAACTTCAAGTGCCACTTTGGGCCACGCTTCGATGGGCCAAAGATTAAAAAGGGATTTATGCAGACACCTCCAATGCGAATCTCTGTGCAAATTGCCCATAAAAATGCATACGAAATCGTTGGCTGTTGCCCCCAAAACATGATGAATGGTTATCATCTGGATGGATGGTGTTATTTGGATGTGTATGGAGTAAAAGAGATCATTGATTCTTACCTATGGTTACATTGCTGACAGGCAAAGCATTCCAGGTGATAGACATTGGTCCGGGCACGCATCACCATCTCAAAGGCAGGGATCACCTTGCTGCAGGCAGCGCAATAACCAGTATTGCCAAACAATCTGTGGAGGTAAAACCAAGGAAAAATTAGTTAATATGTCTTCTAGAAAGTATTTTTACAATTTTAAAAGAAGCTAAAGATGTTTAGAAACTTGTTTTAACAAGAAAAAGCTAACTAACCCAACATAAACTCTAGAAATTAACAACTTAGAAACCCTTTCCTTTAGTTACTATAAATCTTAAGCTTTTCCTTTCTTCCATGGCATTACTTTGACTTTATATAACTATAATCAGTTACTAAGATAATCTAAAACCCTAACTATAAACATAATAAACTTCTCATCTTAACCCTTAACTAGTTAACCCAAACTAACCTCAAGTAATCCCTCTTGCACAGCATCAGATTCCCCTTGGTGTACAGCGTAGAGCCCACTTCTCCGAGACGACAATCACAGCAGCCGCATTTGAGGCAATCCTCGTGCCACAGCATGTCCAGGGCACGGAGAAGATAACGATCCTGTATATGCTTTCCACAGCCAGCGCACAATTGGCTACCGTTGTTATTGTTATTGTTATTATTGTTGGCAGCAGCGGCAATGCTCTGGACATTCCCGTTGCCATTGTTGCCGCCACCGGCTCCGCCGGCATTGACCACATTGACCACATTCCCATTGCCATTGGGATTGGGCCCGTTGTTCTGGCCAACGCTGTTCATGCCGGCGTTGGTTTGCTGGGACTGCTGCTGCTGTTGCTGCTGCTGCTGCTGTTGGTTGGAGGAAAGCCCGACTAGTCCGGGTTCGGTTTTGGTAATGTCCATAGTCATCATCTAGAAAAGACACCAGAAGAAGATTGTCTTATTATTTGGGTTTTTGGTTTTTGTTGTTAGAAAATATAATACATTAGTGATAGTAACTGGCCAACAACTCAAAAACGGGCCAAAGCCCCACTGATATCCGGATGGAAGATCTGAATGTATCACTATAGCCTGCTGAGGCAGCGTGTTGGCCTGGACATGTGGCACAAAGAATTTGTCCATGTTGTAGAAATTGACGCGCTCCTCATCCTCGCACTGGAGACTGGCATTGTAGAGGTACTCCATTTCGATATTCACAGGATTAAATATAAATTTTCTTAAAAATAATCCCGCAAAAGTTCTCGAAGCGTTGGCTTCTTTATGACCAGTGTTGCCATATACTGAAAAACCGCCAAAGTCCGTTTGTTTTTGGCTCTTTCTAACAAAACGGTACTTGTTGTCGTACGCATAAGCAGAACACTTTAAGAAAAACTTGAAAACTTGTGTATTGATTTATATATGAAAAGCAGAATCTAATGGTTATTATCTTTTATATATTCTCAGAACAACATAGGTTTTAAAATAAAATTTTATATATATTTTTTCTATATTCCATTTATTGATTTCAATTTTGTAATTTAAACATTTTTTCTCAAGTGTCCAGCCGCGTGCGTAAAGTAACGGCATTTTTCAGCTGTTAAAAAGTGTTGAGAAATGCCTCATAGCAACGGTGGCGCTAGTAAAGCCAAGATCACTAATTTGAAGCATACTTTTGGGCCTTTAAGTAATATTTACTTTTTAAAATCTGTGCAAAAATATTTGGCAAACTTTGCAAAATATATTTTATAAATGCTTTAAAGGTGTTTCTTAACATTAATAAATGATTAATAAAATAAAATAATTTTGTTTTAATCTTACAAAAAAACTACTAATGACACTTGGGCTCGTCCGGGAATTGAACCCGGGACCTCTCGCACCCGAAGCGAGAATCATACCTCTAGACCAACGAGCCGGGTTGAAACGCCAGCTGCCAGCTTCTCAATATAAATTCACTGATCGCTTTATGGACTTCCCCCTTCTATTTACCTCTTTTTCTCATATGTAATACAAGGATTTAAAATATTTAATAATAATATTTTTTCCGAATTTTTATAGTATTTCTTATTTTTCCCCTACCATTTAACAAGTTCTTATGACCCTTAAAATAATATCTGCAACTGTTCTCGCTCGATAACGTTAACAGAAACCAGCAAAGCAAATGGCCAACAACAAATCAATACAAACAAAAGGCCCATTTACCCATACAAACACACACACACATTATTTGGTGGAATGCCACCAAGCGACGATTTAAAATAACGAGATTTATGACAAATTGGCGCCCCCCAAACCTTTGCCATTGCTAAATAGTTTGTTGCAATGTGCAAATTTCAGCAAGCATTGGGGAAACCCTAAAAATATACAGCGCCTCGGCCATGTTGCAGCCACTACACTGGAAAAAAACGAGGGTAAGTTAAGGTGATTATTATGATATTCGAGATTTATACATTTTGGAATCTCATATTTCTTAACTTTGATTTTCCTATTTAATATTTAGATTTCCCATCTAAAAATTTACTAATTTTCCTAATTTAGACTTTCATCTTCATCCTGGACCCTAGATTTTTTCCCTCTGCATCCATTCCCTATCCCTCGCAATGTGTGCTGTGTCTGGTTCTGCTTTTGGCCGCCTCTCTTTTCGCTGATTGCCCTCGTCCGTGTCCGCTGTCCCCTGTCCGCTTGTCCGTTTGCCCGGGTCCGGGCCAAATGGCTCGCATTAAGCCCTGCGCCATGTAGCGCCAACTGTGACCTCGACTTGACCACGGCCTAAAGAGAGGAGACGGCATGTAGGGAATGGGCTGGTGGGTGGTTAGGGGTTTATGCAGCTGCTGGAAATGACTTTAATTAGACGGTTGCCACCAATTCTACCCTGCTGCTACCGCTGCTGTTGCTGCTGCTCCTCCTTCTTCTACCCATTTCCTGCGATTCAATGGAAGGGTCGAAAAGTCATCAGCAGTTGATGCCCGCCGGTCATTCGTGAGCTTCAGAATGCCCAAAATAGGCATGGAGTTTGGGGGATAGATGGGTGGTTTGTGCAACTGCCACTGCCACAGGACTCGCCTCTCTGCAATGCCGACTCATAAAAATTCAATCAAATCAATTTATGTAAATTTAACGCGACGTTTCAAACAATAACATCGAACTGGGGACTGGAAGAGAGACTGCAATGGTATGGAGACTGTAGATGGAAGGATGCACAGCGCATCAAAACTCAATTTTGGCAGCTGCAACATGATGCCACCCGTAGTATTTTTTTTTTTTGGTGCCCCCCAAAAAACACACAGACTGCATTGTTATATAGTTTTTAGACAAATGAAATCGAATGCTAAACGCCGCTTGGAAAACCGCGCTCGTTCATATTAGATTTTCATTTTCAATTGCATTTGCCACTAGCCAAAATGTGGGCGTGGCTGCATGAATGCTTTATCAGGGAAACTGCTCTTCGTCCCCCCGCCCCCACATTCACATTCACTCATTGCAGATTCATAGTTTCATAGCCAGTACGCCACCCTCTCCCTCCCACTCCCCCCACACCAAACGATTTTTCCCTCTCAATTAATTTATGCATTACATTCCCACAAAATGCTTTTCAATTTGCATCCAATTTTGGACCGATGCGGAGATAGGCCCCTACTGGCAAATGATCTCTCCGCCGCTGGCAGCTTGATTGATTGATTGACTCACCCACTGACTGACTGACTGACTGAATGACTGACTGATATGTAATTAGTTTAGTTAGACCGCCTTTGAGGATCAAAGACTTTAAATCTAGCGGTGGTCAGTGGTTAGCTATTATAGGCTTGATGGAGGGAAATCTTTGGCTTTTCTTGGATGGTTTTTAAGTGAGCTTTTCATATATATCATTGTCTAAGAAGTAAAAGAGATTCTTATATTATTTTTATATAAAATTGGATTCTTCACCTTTCTAATTTAAGTTCTCTTACCATACTTTAACGTTTTCTAACACATTTTATAGATTTCCAACCAAACTCAATCTAAGCCACCCTCACAAAGCCTTTTCTGATCTACAAATTTAGTTAGCCTGTGAAATCCGGAATCGAAAGCGGAATTCCTCCGACTACCCCGCCTAGAACCACCCTTGGGCACTCAAACATTTCCGCTTCTTTAGGCCAAAACTCCAACTCCAACCGAGAGGAACCCTTTTGCCGAACTAATTGCGCGACCAACGACACTCATTAAAGCCAATCAATATTCAAATTTGAGCTAGTCAGCCAGGCCAGGTGGAAGGCCATAAGGAGGCGGGCCATCGTATTCCGGTCATAGCTATAATACCCGGGGAGTCTCCGTCCCCCCCCCTTTGGCGTTTTCACAGTTTAGTTTGCTAAGCGAAGGTTAGAGAGAGGTTGGAGCAGCAGGGGCGGGAATTCGTTCCGTTCCGGACGCGGTCGCTCTATAATTATGCATATGCATGTGACCCCAAGTAAGTAAGCGGCAACTTAAACCCTTTTTAACCCCAATTCTTCTCCTCCTTTTCAGAAAATTACACGTTTGCACGCAAGTTAACGGAAGTTACTTGCTTTCTAACCCACCCGTTCCCGCTCTTTAGCCCTGATATTTTCCCTGCTATTTTTCCAAGACCCCTAACTAACCTCTTGGAATTAAGTTGATTTCTGCGGTCAGTTATGTTTATGGTTTATTTATTTGACCGCTGCAATTTTGTGTCACGTTCTATGCAGTTTTCTAAAAAAAAAAAGAGAAAACGGAGAAAGGGTATAAAGAAACAAAAAAAAAAAAGGGTTTAAGGGGAGCCGGGTTGACCATCCGCTTAAGGGTTCTCCACTGAAGCGCTTTTAATGACACTAATTAGTGGCGGGGGCTCATGTGACAAACGCACCAGGCGGCTAAAACCCAAAAAGCAACCCCCAAAAAAGCCTAAAGAGAGGTGGTGAATATCAGCCGGGGTGGGGGAGGCGTAAAATCACGTATGGTGCATGCAACAAACAGCTGTGCTGCAACGTCGTCCCCAACCTTAATTGGTAATTAATTTATTTTGCATAATTTTTCGCGCCTCTCTCTCTCTTTGCGTTGCAGCAATGCAACACATTATGCCACTGACATATGGTAGGTATGGGGCACGCACAGTTTGTATATTTACTTTACGGACTTTGGGGATTTTCCAAAAGGGGGGTGTGACATGGGCAGTGCTCGGTCACAAAGGTGTCAAAAAGTGCGAATTAAGTGCGAATAAACGTGCTGAGCGTGCAGGCGGTAGAGACAGGCGGCCCTGGACCACGCCCACCATCAGTCTCACAGCCCATGAAATGGCCAAACCCGTCCCGCTGTCGTTCGCATTGCGAAAATTTGCATCGAGTCACGAAAAATAAATGTAAATTTAATTTGCATACGCAACGTTGGGAAAATCGCAGCTCACGAAGGTCTGAGGAAAATATTTATAATGAAAATTATGCGTATGAAAATTACCCCAAAAAAAAAAAAAGAGTTAATTTTTTATTAATTGATTTTAAGATTGTTAACTTAAGCTATGAAAATGAAATGAAGAAATTTAAACGAAGGAAAAGCTTTAAAAAAGGAAAACTCCGGGACATACACGCTGGCTGGCTGGCATCAAATTCCGTTGTGGAATGTCCTTTGGCCATGCAAGGCTTCCCCAGGTCAGACCCCCCTCTCCCCAACCACCTTTTCAAGGCAAACTTATGCAGAACCAAAAACAAATTACCAGCAACAAAGGCGGGCGGTGGGGAGGGCAAGGAAAATAAAATGAAAAACGTCAAGTACGCGACATGAAAACTAAAACAAAGGAAAAACAAAAACAAAAAAAAAAAATAGTATAGAAAAACGAGAAAATCTACAAGTATAAATAACGAGAGAGAAAATTAAAATAAAATATAAAGAAAAACAAGAAAACAATCAAAAAATTCATTTTTAATTTTTATGCCATAAAAATGCAAACG